ATGGATTAAACCATTTAAAGGTACATCCATTACAATCTCCATCCCTGGTCCTTTTGAGCCAGATTATCTGGTGCATCTGTGCAATGAACCATTCTCCTCATTGCCAACCTGGCTAGCAACAAGGGGTTTGTGCTTGAGTCCATCATTAGTATAGTCCACATCCTAGGCTGCAGGTGGGTCTCTTCTTTGTCATGGCTTACCACAGGTCACAGTCTTTTCACAGTCCTTTCAGCTTGAGTTCACACAGGAGTTCCAGCCTGTTGACTAGAAAATTTACGATTACAACAATATAATTTACGATTACAGCAATCTCTAAACCACACCTTTTTTTTTTTTTTTGATTTTTTTTTTTTTTTTGATGTTTTTTGGGTCTTGCTGTATGTCTCTTCCTGGGCCATAAGACTGCTCGTTGTGGCCTTGGCGGCTTTTTCGTGATGGTGTGCTGGACCCGCCGTCAGTGTGTGGCGGGGGGCGGCGCGGGAGGGCACGACACCTTTTGCGGATTCTTTAATTAGTGTCCAGGGAGTAGAATACTTGCTAGCTTCTTCCCAGGTGGGTAACAAACACTGCTTCATTCCCAGGGATTAAGTCCCTATGCTGTGCCCACAGCATCAAGCCTTTAAGTGCTTGTGCTTCATAATAATTTTCTCTCACAGAGAGCATAGGTTGGAGGATTTTAAACCCCATCTCCTCCCCAACCCACTCACTTGTGTTTTCACAGAAAAGATTCGTCCTCTCGCATTCTTGGAGACTTCAGACAAACTTCTGGGCTTCCCAGACAAACTTCTGAGGCTTCCTGGACAAATTCCGAGGCATCCTGGACAAAATTCCGAGGCATCTCCGACAGTCTTCGCAGACTTCAGTGGGAGGCATCCCCGACCCTTTTGGTCGGAGGTTTAATTCCTGTTCCAGGCACACCTTTCATCCACCCACTAGGCACTGCTTAGCAGCGAATCTGAGGGTCCCTGTTCGGGCACCAGTTGCAGAGCTCACGGACAAAGAGGCGACGCCATTATTATCTTTGTGAATGTCTTGAGACTCTTTATTATTCACAAAAGTGATTCTTTTATACACACCTATTATAAGCGCCCACTTATTATTGGTTAACTACCATTACTAGCCCACCTTACACACAATATAATTAGTTACTAACATAGCAGTCATAAAATGCTTAACCATTATTCTCCACCCCTAACTATCTTCAACTTCTGCATCCCACATCCAGGAGCTGCTTATCTTGCTACCTACTTTCTCACATTCCAACGACAGTAGCTTTTGCTCAGGCCCTGCTAGCAAGGCTGGATTGCTCACATGTCCATTAGCAATCAGAAATTCTCCCACAGACATGCAGTTGCTAAGAGGAATGGAGGACCTCCCCTATGAAGACAGGCTGAGGAAGCTGGGGTTGTTCAGCCTGCAAAAGAGAAGGTTGCATGGAGACCTCATAGCAGCTTATCAGTATCTGAAGGGGCTAAAAGGGAGCCGGAGAGGGACTCTGTGTTAGGAACTGAAATGGTAGGACAAGGGATAATGGGTTCAAACTAAAGGAGAGAAACACTAGGTTGGATGTGAGAAAAAATAAGGTTTTTCCTGTGAGCGTGGTGAGACTCTGGCACAGGTTGCCCAGGGAGGTAGTGGATGCCCTGACCCTGGCAGTGTTCAAGGCCAGGCTGGATGAGGCCTCGAGCAACCTGGGCTGGTGGGAGGTGTCCCTGCCCAGGGCAGGGACTGGGACTAGATGATTTGTAAGGTCCATTCCAACCCCTAAGATTCTGTGATTCTATGATTTTAACACAACAAGCTAGTCTCAAGGAACAGTGAAATTTATACATTGTGCA